CTGTGCAGCTTCTTAAAGGATGAAAACAATCCTATTTTGTGTGCTTCAAACTTTTTTCGTTTTGCAGAGTTATCAAAAGAGGCATCGCGTATCATCGAAGCTAAAAATTCATTTTTACTTTTGTACTTAAGTAAATTTCTGAGCCTGTACTTTTTATTTTTACTTGAGTAAAGGAGTTGAGTCAGTACTTCTACTTTTACCAGAGTCTGTTTTTACACAAGTATCTCTTCTGTGAGTACTTTTACCATCTCTGGGCTTCAATTTATATTAAGCAATTGAAAAAAAGTGTTATTTTACGGATTTGTTTTGTTAAATGAGAGATCGTTTCTGTTCATTAACAAAAACATTTAAAAAATTACAGGATAACTGAAAACTTTTACAGAAATTTGTAAGTATTTGAAGAATTAAAAAAAAATTTTTTTTGTTTAAATTACTTTTGTTTTTCAAATCTTGCCTCTTTTGTTAAATTACAGATAAAATCTTCTACTACTCACCAGATGTGTACACACAGTGAAAATACGAAACAAATCTATGCAGTCTTTTTTAAACTTTGCCCTCCAGATTTCCACTGTGTGAGACAACCACCTCCAAATACCCGTTATGCGTTTTTTTTTTTTCTTTTCTTGCGGTCCACACTTCATTTAAATGTGAATCAGTTACATTATTGTGCATGAATGCGGAGCTCAGCTCTTGCATCGGGCGGAGATGACATGTACGACCCCCTTCCTCCCTCTGCCATGGCAACTTCAAGGAAACTGAGCAGGGGATGTGGGAGGAGCGTCGGTCTGAGGTCCAGGTGGTCCAGCCTGCGTAAAAACGCACCGAACACACGCCAAAGTCTTACGAAACGACATCGTAAGCGTCATCCAGCTCCTGGCACCTTTATGAATGAGCTGTTTTTCAGAGAGAAAGAAAGAAAACAACCTGGTGGATTTACTGCTGGAGAAGAAATCAACAAACGGAGTTGAACGCGCTCGTCTGGTGCGTCGCTGCGATCTCTCCAGAAAGCCAACAGTTGGACTGCAGCTTTTTTTTAATATTGTTATTTTTTTGTTTAATTGAAAGAGCCAAAGTAGACAACTTTGCTTTTCAGAAGATTGTCTGTTTCAGCGGCAAGGAGAGATATGTTTAAGAAAACCAAGAGTAAAGTGCTGGTGGATTATGCGTCAGAGGAGGACGACATGTCCTGGCACTATCATCACTCCTACAAGGTAACAGAAAGGAAACAGCGCGAACTGTGATGCTCGTGACAAGACAAAATATCTTTGTATGCTATAAATTTCACCAAGTTTAGTTGTTCAAAAATGACTAATAATGGAGACAAGTGTCACTTTAAAGTAGCTGAAAGGAATATTAAGCACATGGAAATGATGATTTAAAAGTCAGAGTTTGGCATGAAACTGGTTAATTATATTTATATTTATTTTGTTACTTGTAAAAAAAAAAGAAAAAGAGAGACTGCTTGAGGTCTCAAAGAGGAGGCAGATGGAGGAGGAGGAGGACAAGTGCTCTCACTGGTGTCAGGTCAGCTGAGGAGGAAAAAGGCCAAGAGGTCAAAAGACAGAGAATCTAATGTAATTTACATGTGACAAGTGTGTGAACAGGACTGTTTTCTCTGCTCTGGAGCAAATGCATACAGGTGAGTAACAAAGTGCTGTTTAACGTACGACATGAGGAGTCCAACTTGTGTCAGTTCTGAATTTGTTTGCGTTCTTCAAGCTATGAAGGTCACAGTTCTGACTGGAGGCGGTGCAGCTCATAGATGTCTCTTTGTTGTCTTTACGTTATGCTCATATTTCAGCAGGTGAGCAGAAGCACTGTGTGTGTGTGTGTGTGTGTGTGTGTGTGTGTGTGTGAGGTCTATAGAGCGTCAGTATCAGCACTTCCAAACAGCTGGACTCTGTCACGGTGTTGGGGGAGTGAACATGGGGGAGGAAAGGCGTCCAGCAGTCCGGCCTCCTGAGAAATAGCAAAGTGGCATGTTTATCTGTGGAGGCACTTGTAGTCGTGGGTCTCTAACCTGCAACCTGCACAGCCTGCATTAGGTCAGCAGCACAACCTAAATGAGCAGGTTTCAGGTGTTTACTTCTAGTTAAATCCTCAGACTCTTAAATAAGAGGAGGATGTTGGGCAATTGCATTTTCCAAATCTCTGGATAGATAAACTCGGTAAAACTCTCGGGGGTTTGTTGGTTTTTTTCCTCCCTCATAAATGTGGGAGTCAAAATAATGTGCTTTCGTCATACTTGTGGGATCTTATCAGCTCACGCTACGTGTGATAAGAAGCCTTTTTAAACTGTGCGATGAATCAAGGTTTTATGGAGAGATTTCTTTTCTCTTTTGTGGATAGTATAAATCATGCCAACAAGGACTTCGGGAAGTTTTTAATGCACAAGAACTTTGATGATTTGCTTTCCTGTAACGCATGTCAGATTTTATTCACAGCCTGCAGCTCTTTTAGTATTTGAGCAATCTGAGATATCAACCAACGCCGCTTTCCAGCATTTTTCTAATGTTGAGATCTGTGACCCTTGGCTGGCTTCTGCTGGTCCTTCTTAGCTTCCATCCTGGGAACCGGCTCATGTGGCCTTTTACGTCCGTGGAGCTGCGGCAGTTTGCGTCTCCGTTTCCAGCGGTCACCGGAATTACTCGGTTGATCGGAGCAGATCCGAGATCAGTGCGGCAGCTTTCCTTCAGACTTCCTGGGAAAGTCATCAGGGAGGTCTCCTCGAGTCGCCATGGCAGTAAAGTACATCCAGGGGTCAGAGGTTAGATCATAAAATGTCGTAAACATGGCAAAGAGGCAGAGCCGGTCCAGCCGCGATACAGGATGAAGACAGGATAGAAGTTATGATAACACAGTCTGGAAACGCAGCCTCGTTTTTTTTCTCCTTCCCGTTATTCAAACTGAGGCAGATTCAAGGAGCGGGAGCATTTTTTGCGCCAGGATCCTGTTGCACGAGTACCCGTTTGGCTTCTGTTTGAATTCTTCTCGAGATCTTGAAGTTTTCAAAGTTCAAACATGTCAGACTGTTTCAGGAAAATGACTAATCAAGCTTCCAGCTACATGAAAGGGAAATGTAAGAGGGAACTCAGGGATCACAACAGGGCTGTGGCTAAAAGGTGCTTTTAGTATCTATTGATGTGACGCCTATCTTGGCTAATCGGGTTGCAGCTGTGGTGCTATAAAGGTGCTACATTAAAACTGGACTGCTGAATCAAAAGTTCTTTCATGGAGTTGTAGCTCATATTAAAGTCATATGTTTCGTGATTTGCACTTTTTTGAAGATATTATCATCAGAGATACATCCATGAATCTGCTTAGACAGCACATAGAAGCACTCTGCTTGTAACGCCACAACTTTACATTCATGATGTTTTCTCACTTTTATTAAGTATTGCAGAAATCCAGCCATGAAATCACTGTAGACATGACCGGCTGATATCATTTGACGTTCTTTTAATGGTGCAAATTTGTCAAAATGTAATCAGATATAGATTTAAAGAGACCACAGCTGGCTGATTACATTATGTCTCCTGTTTACATCCTCCAGAGATGGTACACGAGATGGGGAAAGCCCCTCGTCTGAAAGATGCCAGGAAATAGTGACAAATGTCAAGTGCAATTGTCCAGACACATTTATATTGTTTGTTTTGTCCAAGCAACAGCTTAAACTCCTACTATATACAGTTTGCTATCATATAGCTCATAGAACAGCAGCAGATCTTTACATGAGCAGAGAGAACAGTTGGCATTCCTGCTTGAAAAGCGACTGAAGTGATAATCGAAATTTGTTTTAGTTGTGGTTCACATGTATAAGGTGGGGCTGCATCATGACTCGGTGGTTAACACCATCACCGCGCAGCTAGAAGGTCGCCGGTTCGCGTCCCAGTGAGGACACCCAGGATCTGTCTGCATGGAGTCTCCATGTTCTCCCCGTGCAGCGTGGGTTCTCTCCGGGTTCTCCAGCTTCCTCCCAAAAACATGCTGAGGTTAATTGGTGATTCTAAATTGTCTGTAGGTGTGAATGTGAGTGTGCTTGGTTGTCTGTCTCTAAGTGTGGCCCTGTGATAGACTGGTTACCTGTCCAGGTGAACCTGCCTTCACCCTGAGTCAGCTGGGATAGACTCCAGCCCCCCATGTGACCCTGGTGAGGATTAAGGTGTATAGATGATGGATGGACAAGGTGAAGTTTTCCTCGGTTTCCTTTGTAATAATTCATACTAACAATAACTGGTCATCGTTATTCTCTTAAGTAATATTAGGGTCAGAATCAGAAACAGTAATATTGACAATTAAAAATCCTTGTCAGAGAAAAATGTAGCTGAAATGTTCGTAAAAGTCCTGATCTGGTCCCTCTGACTGATGTGTTGCTGTATGTAACATCAGATTATCAGTCGTGAGGTGTCAGCGTGTCGGCAGCTTGTTGCTGTTTTGACCTACGTTGTATCCAGTTTGATTTTCAGGGACAGAAGATAAATCTGAAGGCTGGTCAGGTGATACATGGAAGAAGAAAAATCAAAGTTCTGACGCACAAATTTGTTTCCCGCTTTTGAACTTTTTCTCTAGCGTTGCCAGTTGTTGGATCAGTTGACGATTTATCAAAAATGAAACTGCTGGATGCTAAAAGTGAAACTTTGTCAGAGCTGTTTGCTGCTCGTAGAAATGTGAAACGTGACTCTCCACTGCTTTTTGTAAGAAGCCCAGAGATGGTAAAAGTACTCACATTCTTTACTGAAGTAGAGATACTTGTGTCAAAATAGACTCTGGTAAAAGTAGAAGTACTGATTCAACTCCTTTACTCAAGTAAAAGTAAAAAAAGTACAGGTTCAGAAATTTACTTAAGTACAAAAGTAAAAATGAATTTTTAGCTTCGATGATACTCGACAAAAGTTTGAAGAACACAAAATAGGATTGTTTTCATCCTTTAAGAAGCTGCACAGTGCTGCTACAGAGAAACACATCACTGGACAGTTTTCCATTTCAGCAACATGATGAACATTAAACATTATGATCAACATGGAAACACTCGTCTCTTCAAGACTACCAACATCTTTTATGGAGCCTCAGCAGAAGCTGGTTCTCAGAGTTCTCTGGATGAAGACGGGCCCTTTTGGGTCTGAACATCAGTCCTGCAGTGCTAGAAAGCCTCTGGCAGGCAGCTGAGGGTGCTGAGCTTCACTGCTGGGAAAGATAAAGACGTTTGTTGTTCCGTTTTTTACGTCATGTCGTCATCCGCAGAGGTTGAAACAAGTAACGAGAATGTAAGGAGCAGAAAGTCCAGATATTTGTGTTCAAATGTAGGAAGTAAAAGTAAAAAGTGGTCAGAAAAATGATTATTCAAGTAAAGTACAGATGCCTGCAGAATCTACTGAAGTACAGTAACCAAGTATTTGTACTTTGTTACTTCCAACCTGTGAAGAAGCCTAAAAGGTTGGAAAACACCGGTTTTATCTTTACGTTGTGTTTACGAGCTTCTTGTGTTTTCTGTTCTGTAAAATCTTCACTTTCAGAGTAACTACAGCTGCCAGATACATATAATTACAGTTAATACTAAAATGTACAGACGTGTAAAGTAGGAAGAACTGGAAACACTCAAAGTGCAAGTACCTCAAAATTGCATTGTCGTACAGCACGTGAGTAAATGTACGCAGGTATTTTTTCACTACTGCATTTATACAACAAACGCCTGCCTTTATAAGCTTGTAGCATTTGGGGAGGCTGCTGAGTGTTGAGTTGGCTGCACTACTTTTATAATAGTTTTTTTAAACCTGGACTTATCCAGGGAAGTCTCAGTAGCTTTTCCTGAAAAAGAGAACATTGCTGGAAACCACAGTTTGATCCGTTGGCCACCGTGCAGCCACGCTGGAGCAGTTCGGGTCAAGTTTCTCGCTCAGGGGAACCTCAGATCCGGCTCTTTTACTTTCTCCGCCCACATTCATGCAGGTGGTCCAGGACTCAAACCAGCAACTTCCATAAGCTTTGCTCTGTCAGGCTTTCTTTGTTGCTCTCTTGAAATTAAAGCTTGTGTTAACTTCAAGGCAAAACACATGATTGTGTTGATCAGCAAGCAGACAGTATCAAGAGATCGTACATCCTCAGACACAGAGGCAAGGAGAAGGGAAAAAAGGGGGTCGAGTCAAGACAGAAAATCCAGAACTTGGACAATATCATTCCCTTCCTGCCTCCTCGGCGCTGTGGGGCGACTGCAGGCCCAACGCCGGCCTGCTGTCTCAGCACTCTGTTGAAGCTCAGCAGGCTGTCATCAGCTGTGAAGGTGTGTGTGTCTGCGGCTCACGGCGGTAACACACCTGAATACTGAACTATCAGCGTCGTTTGTGAAGTGGGATCATGAGGGCACACATCAGGCCTGAGAAAAACTTCAGACCGCCTCACATCTAAATCATGAAGCCATGCAGAGGATAAGGAAGCTTAAGAAGACCTCCTCCCCTGCTGGAGGGGTTAAAGACAGCGGAAATCAAACGTTTGTTTTGTTCACTTTAAGTCATCACAGACATGATGCCAAGCATACGGGGAGGCTTCTGGGCGTTCTGGTTTTGTTTTGCTGCTGTCACATTGTTATCACATTGTTGTTCCCTAAGAGCCCAGGTGTTATCAAGACTGGAGAAAAGGTTCTAAGTGCTGTCGGTATTTACCTGTCTGTAATCATTTGCTCTCATGCTTGTCTCCTATTGACGTTTCTTTGGAAAACACGGCCTGCAGTTCATCCCAGTTCAGCAGAGAACACGTTTGTTCCGTGACTGTCGGTGGCAGCGGAGTCGCTAACGAACTCCTGGGAGCTCAGAAGTCGTAGTTTTTTCACACAGTCTGCAAACACTTAAAACAAGACGCAGAATATAGTCATTTAATGTTCTAAGTTTATATGTATATGAAGCAATTGGGGGGAAAAAAAAGTATTTTACAGATTTTTCTTGTTTTGTTAAACTACAGATAATTTTGAGTCAACACACAGAAAACAGAGAATTTATTTACCTGAAACATTTTACAGCTAAAATTACACATGTTCTGGGTTGAAAGAATTTAAAATAAGTAGTTGACCAAGAATTTATCAGATCGTCCTCATTTTGTTAAATTATAAATGACTTCTTTTAATCTTACAGACTCAGTATTTCTTTACATGTTGACTGTAGAAAACAAACAAACCCCCAAAACAAGCCCAGACTGAACATAATATCCAAATTAACAATCTGCATCTTTAGTTGTTCTTTTACAGCGTGACCATAAAGTTATATTTAAATCCACTAAAATCTTTTTGGTTCCTTCCCACCGTTGCCATATGACATATGCTGAGAACTGCTGCACTGTATAAATAAAATTGAATTTAATTAAAAATATAAATGTACAGATATTTGCCATTATCTTCACTGTTTAATGTAATTTTTTAATTCTAATTTTAATTCATTAATTTTTACACATTAAAATATTTCCCTATTTTTGTACATGTTTTTTTTCTGGCAGCCTTGCTGCCAGATTTTTATTTTATTTTTTTTACAGGATTTTTCTTTTTACAGTCTATTCCTTTAACTATATCGCCCTGTGGTGCAGTGTCATGGTAAAACATTGTGGGGATCCTGTGTTTAGAGAATGTGGGTTATTGTTGGAGTACGAGGGCTTTGTACAAATCCAGAGTGTCTTTATTGCCAAATACGCTGAGTGTTGGAACTCTGAACTAAAATTTACACGCAGATACAAAGAGAGGAAGAGAAAAAACGGCCCCTGAGGTGTGAAATAAGAACTCTTGTTTTCTGTTGTCAGGAGCCTTTTTTCAGCCCCAAACTCCTTCTGTCCCTGAATCTCCTCCTCCTTCACTCTCTCCTGCTGTTCTGAAGTGGTTCATGCTAACAGTAGTCAACAATCAGTGTGTGTGTGAGTGAATGTGTGTCTTTGATCAGCTCCGGTGGCGGAGAACCAGCAGACTTTGCTCAGACATGTCCAACCACCATTTCTCCTCCTCTCTCCCATGGAGTCGTTAGATCTTATAAGTTCTTACGGCTTTGATCATTTTTGCAGGAATTCTGGCTCCGCTTCAGTAGTCTGAGGCTCAGCTGCACGTCTGATGACTTGTAGCTGCTCTCTTCTCATGATTTAATGCCTTTAATTACGAGGGCAAGTCAAGGCAAACTGCAAGTGCAACGGTTCATATCAATCAAAATGTACTGTAAGGCAGAAAACACTCACTGAATGTAACTTGCTCAGGATTGGAAATATATGATTTATGATTACCTCTAGTATGTTTTTGAACTTAAAACAAATCTGTCTCCATTTAGGTGTAAAAGAAAATAAATTTATTCCCAAGGCATGCCACAGCCACAGGATGGAGGAAACAAACGGAGAAACAAAGGCAAGCTGATCTAGTTAATGAACTCTAAGGAGAAAACAGGCTTAGGTGGTCCGAATGAGCAAACAAGCCCAAAGGGGGACAGCAAGAACAGATACTGGTAGATCAGGCAAGAACAGGAAGAGGTGCAGAGTCAGGTTGCAGGTACAAGTGGCTGGAATGTGATGGCATGAAACAGCGCCTGGCAGGGAACAGGTGGAAATGGCCGGTGGAAATACTGAGGGGCTGATGGAGGAGTAGGTGAGGTGTTTGGGAAAGTTGGGCGAATGGGACTGGGGAGAAAGCCTGAGGGCATCTGCAGGTGGTGAATGGTAGGAGCTGGTAAAGATGCCTCAACTTGCAGAAGGAAGTGAAGAGAAAGAGTGGGTGAAAGGAACAACTGAGGCAGTAACGGGGATGAAAGTGATCATCAGAGTTTCTAGTGGGCATTGGGCAGAGTCCAGGTTGTCCACTCTGATCCTGTTTGTGATGTTCACGGACAGAGCTCGAGGTGCTGCAGAGGTGAGGAAGGGTCCAGGATGGTGACCTTAGAGTGCCGTGTATGCTTTTGTGCAGATGATGTGCTTCGATTAGCTTCATCAGACTGTGATCTTTAGCATGTACTGGGGCAATTTGCCACCATTTTATTCTTGGATCTTCTTTGAACTACCGGTGGCTCGGTGGTTAGCACCATTGCCTCACAGCTAGAAGGTCGCTGGTTCGCGTCCCGGTGAGGACACCCGGGATCTTTCTGTATGGAGTCTCCATGTTCTTCCCGTGCAGTGTGGGTTCTCTCCGGGTTCTCCAGCTTCTCCCACACAGTCCAGAAACATGTTGAGAACTTCGGAAAGAAGGCGCCCAGGAGGCATCTTAATCAGACCTGTGCTACCTCAGCTGGCTCCTTCTAATGTAAAAGCTGATGCTGCCTGAATTTGTCTATCGCACACTCCACTTTCTTATCATTCATGAAGAAGATCCCATCCATCATCTCTACACCTTAATCCTCACTAGGGTCGTGGGGGGCTGGAGTCTATCCCAGAGGGAAGGCAGGTTCACCTGGACAGGTCGCCAGTCTATCACAGGGCTACACTTAGAGACAGACAACCAAGCACACTCACATTCACACCTACGGACAATTTACAATGATTCATCAAAAAAATAAAAATGTAATGTTTAATTTCTCTAAATACGTTATTTGCCAGACTCTATTTTGGTGTCTATATCATACATATCTATATATCATATATATATCTATGACTGCAGATCTTTAAAATTATGCAAAATTTGACATAGCTCCTTAGGATACTTTGCTGTTTGAGAAATACGGAAGCAAAAACAAGAATCAAAATATTAGATAAATGTCTGAGAGACATAGGCTCAGTTTCCAAGACATGGATTAGACCAAAACCTCAATCGAGATCTTCATTAAACTTTCCAGGGCCTAATCCGTGTCTGGCAAACTGTGTCTGGCAAGATGTGCAACATTTTAAGATGCAGGGTGCATGATGTTGTTTATTCTGTAAAAGGTCTCTACAAATCTCGTGGCAGTGTGTTCCAGGCCAAGTTAGAGTTGACTCAAGTCCAAAGTGTCATGCCTGCAGGGTCTGGGTTTTTAAATTCATCATGGTGTTCGTCATTGTCTTTAATATTAGATGTGCTGCAGTTATTTAAACAAAGTGCTTCACATCAAATAATAGGAACAATAACAGAAATATACAAAGGATCTATTAAAAATGGAAAAAAAAGCTTGGAGACAGAAACATAATGGAACCAAAATAGAACCGTTAAATCTAAATAGTGGTGCACACAGCGAAGGCAGTAGGTCACGGGTTTGTTTTCACTTTCTTTTGTTCAAATCTGCCCCCGGAGCTCGGTGGTTTCCCTTCTGTCCTCCCCCGTCCCACATCCATCCATCCATCCCTCCATCTCGCCGTCCAAACACAGCGTGTTTATGTTCCAGCTCTAAAACGGTTGCCTCCTCTTCTACAGGAAGACACACTCTGCACACACGGCGAAAAATGTGGAGCGTTTAGGGGTCGCTGTTTGTGTTAACTGGCTGTGTGTGTGTTTGTGTGTCTCAGGACAAAGACATACAAGGAGAGGAAGAGGACGAGGAAGCCGCCACGGCAGCGTCCAAGGTAAACAGCAGCTTCGCAGCTATTTGGACGGAACACAGACACAAACACGCTATCTGCTTCTAAACTAGACTCATTTTAGGCTGTTTGACTTGTTACCCTGGAAGATATGCCCTCACCCAACACGCTCTTATCTTCTCACACATACTGTCACAAGTCCACCTCAATAGAGTCAATCCTACGTCACCATGAACATCCCTACGCTTCAGATGACCTAAGTGCCTCGAATCCAGACTCAGACTCTCTCGGCAGTTTCTTCTTGACACCAAAGTGTTTGACGGTACGGCTGAGGAGAGTCATAGGACCGTCCTGTTTATCTGTAAACACACCAGCCTTCAGCCTTATCCTTCACCTTATCACTGGAAAACTGGTTTGTTGTTATGGTGCATGTGTGTGTGTGTGTACTATTATCCTTATCATCAGACAGACACGTAGGAACTGTGGCATGAGGTCATTTCGATCATCAGTGTGCTTTTGGTGTCGCTGTTTTCTTATCTTAGTTTTGACTTCTGGAGTCCTGCCGGCCGTTTTGATTTGTTGTCGCAACCTTGGATCTTTTTTCTGGAAGAAAAGAAAAGAAAAATGCAAAGTTAATACTGTAAGATGGAAACAACATTTTAACTTAGAGCGTTTTATTCATATTTTAACACAGAGACCCCTGTATCCCGAGGCCTACAGGTTACGTTGAGGACTTAAAGGATAATTCTGATCTTCTTTGTCTTGTGTCTTATTCTTGTTGTTTTCCCCATTGATTTTAACCACGATAATGTGTTTGTGTGTAATCAGGTTAATTAATACGTTTATTGAATACTGTTTTAAACAAGTCAGGCGGTGCACGAAGTTAGTCAAACATCTTTACGAGAAAAAACAGAGAAAAAGTAAACAGTAAGGTTTTTAAGCAGACTAACTGTCGTAAACATGCATCCCAGTTTGCACACAGACTTCCTGGTTCGACTCAACCTGCTAGACTTTCTGAGTACAACGAGGCTTTGTCAACGTTTTACAGGCAAAGCTTTCACCTTTTGGTTTTGATTAATTTCTGAATTGTTGGGTCGTATACAACCTGTCTGACTACTTATTTTGTTGTAGCAGTGACGAATGATAACATAACTGCTACGCTAAAATTAAACTATTCGTCTGTGATTGAGCCCAGGGCTCGTCGTGAACCCGTTCAACCTGCTCTGTAGCGAAGGATGTGCCTGTAGCTCAGCAGCTCTGTGTGACAGCTCTGTGAAGAAAAGTAGAACAAACTCAGAAGAAAGACTCCCACGAACAACTAGAAGCAACTAAATGTCAGCAGCTGTTTACATTTATTATTATTAGTGAGTTTTGTTAATCTGATGCAGAGTCTGTCTCAATCAAAGTAACATTTAAAACCTGTCAGATTGTAAAGCAGTTGAGGAAAGTGACAGACACAGGTGTTGTTTGAGATTTTGACAACTTGGTTTGCAGCTCAGCTTCCTTCCATCCTGCCATGTCGACCGCCGCAGCATTCCAGTTTTGGTAACATGTTATTATTATATGAAAGCAAACGACTTTTAATGTAGTTTTAATGGTGCATTCTGATTCAGTGACTTAGCCAACTTAGGAAGAACTTTACACACAAATATATTGATGGATTTTCAGAAAGCTGCTGCGACCCAAACCTAAAGCCCCAAATCTCCCCTCAGCTGACTGTCAGTGGTTTCCAAACAAAACTAGGGGAAGATGTCTGTAAAGGTTGTTGGTAGGTGGAAAAAGGTTGGGATTTTAGGGTGAATTAGGTTAAAAGGGGGATACTGATTCTCCTTTTATAGATGCTCAGCTAGACCAGCTTCATGGTCGTCCCTGTAAACTTTGTAGATTATGTTTTTATGAGGCAGCTTTACGAGCACGTGACCTTCGTCTGTGAAGGTGATTTTTGCCTCATCTTTCTCCTCATGAGCGATATGCATCATCTCATAATCTGTGCTGACAGCAAGTCTTTACTCAGAGGTGTAGTCGTGTCCCAACTCCTTTGACTGTGCAAAGCTCACACAGGCGATGTATTGTCTTCACGTATAGCCGCCGTATGCGACCTTGTTCACAGGACACATTTCACGACCTGTCCTGTTTGTGAGGGTCGGGGTGGCTGAGCTGCAGAAGGGAAGGAAATGCAGCATTCTTTCGAGGAGCTGGCCTTTTTGGACTGGAACAATCACTGTGGAAGAAAAACAAGGCTGAAAATAGCCACAGACTGCTTGGACACTGTGGACGGCTACAATTCTTCCACCGTCCGCTGTTTTATGCTCATATTAGGACACACAGAAGTGTACATGGAGTCTGGAAGAGGACCTGTAGCTGCAGAAGCTGATTGCATTACATAGGAGCTTCATTCCAGAGTGCTTTATATTGACTTTTACGTTAAAAAAAAGTCTTAGTAGCAAGACATTCATGTTCCTGTTGCTGATATCATGTGTTTCCTGCTTACTTTAAGCTGTAAACTAAAAGTTAGAAAACATTTGGCTGATTAAGTGATCAGTTGCTCATTCAAACTGCAGATAATTTGGCAAACAACTCTGATGATTGATAAAAATGAGGAATTAGGATGTCAGGATATTAGGTTTTTACGATACAGTTGTTGTGGCTGAACGTTTAGCGTATTGGTTCTGTTCTAGTAAATGAATGATGCTCCACGTTAGAGTCCATGGAGGAACCATAACTGTAATGCATGTTGTTCTTGTGTTGGAGTGTCAACCCGACAGTTACTGGAGCTGGATTAGTCACGATATTGTTAGATTGTATTCTCAACATGATATCGATATTTTATTTTTTAATATCAAGGTTATTGCGACAACCACTGGTAGGAACAGTGTTGACCTTTTTTATAATTATGCAACTTTTTGCTCAGAGGCAGGTGGGAAGATTAACTCTGTGACTCTCAGGCCGCACCCAGTTAGCTTAGCATGAAACTAGCTAGCCTATATGAAATGTAACACCAGTAAAACCACAACAATGCTAAAGATTAAACTAATGAGATCTAACATGTCGATTAACGAGCTTAAAACATGCTGGTAGGAAGATTTTATTACCTTCGTACAGAACCTCGCTTGTTGTCTAAAGTCCTTATGCTAAGCTAAGCTAACTAGCTGAAGACCTTATAGGGGAGGGGCTTCTTTTTAACATTACCAGCTTACTTTACAGAATTCATCCATCAGTAGAAATCAACAGGTCACACCAAGGACAGCGATTATCTGACGCATGTCCCAGCTCTTCCCCAACAAGCCAATCTCAGGCTTTGTAACATCTGAACTGGGAAACGTCCAGCGACTTGTGTTACTGCACCAATACAGCACTGAAACTTTGTGTGGTACAAATATAACCACTTGGGAAAAACTTTTTAGATGCTTTTTAAAGCATATTTTTAGGCAACATCACAAGATTTGTTTGGTAATTCTTTGCACACAGTTCTGTTCCAGAGGTTCCTCATTCATTTAGATTGAGAACTGGTCTTCTTACCACAGAGGCCTTTGGTACTTGGCCTTACCAAGAGACGTACTGAGTGGCGAGAGTTGCCTTTAAGAACTTTGCTGTAGATTCTTTTTGAATGTATGGACATGGGAATATGTCTCAAATTGTCAAGCAACTTCTTTAGGTTGGCTGCTTGTCTGAGATATTATATTTCGACATGTTTGATAACAAAGCAGTATTAATATTCTGAAGCAAATGCAGAGGATGTATCAGACAGAGAGAAAGAGAAAGGATAGGACTACGTAAAAAAGCACAAGTACATCTTGAGTTTTATCCACCCTCCACTAGCGAAGACCTGTTTGTCCCTCATCTTCAATTCATCCAGCATTTTAAAAAATCAAACGCCTCCATTTCAGAGGTATGGTTTAGTGCAATGAGAGCACTATTGTTCAGCCAAGCGTGGAGCTGTAGGAAAAGCTCCCCCACGAAGCGAGCCAGTGAGCTGCTTGGTTTACCTTCTGGCCGGAGAGATTACTGGTCATTGAGCTGCTTTGGATCTGGAGGCCTCGAGGTTAGTGCTGAGGAGAGTAGTGAATAGGCATCCCTCTGTATGTGCAGGCATGCATGCGTGCACATACACAGCTGGAATTCAGCTACACACACACACACACACACACACACACACACACACACACACACACACACATACACACACACACACACACACACACACACACACACAGCCTACATGCAGAGAGACTCCCATCTGTTTTGGCGTCTCTGGTTTCTGTTCTGCAAAGCTCGAACTACTGCAAATCTGATCCAGTTTACACCTCAAGGCGCACAGAAAACGAGGGCTTAGAGTCAGAGGGTGTTGAAATAGCGGAGATTTGATAATATTTTTTTCTCGGTGCCCACAGGCATGTTCACGATAATCAGAAGGATATTTGTCTTTTTCGTTTATCAGCAAAGTGCCTGTTTAATACAAAAGCAAAATCTGTCAAATGTGACATGACTGCAGTGGGATGACGAGTGTTTTCATGTGTGTGTTACAAAGATGTAGAGGGCAAAGAGTTCTGCAAAGTTTGTTTGACCTAAACGTGGACATTGGGGAGCTTGATCTCAGACCTGGTGATAGATCTTATTATAGATGTTCCTGTTTGGTTTTTCCAAGACGACTGCTTTCATATTCAGCGTGTTTGCTTGTTGTCGCTGCATCCTCCGGTCCTGTACATACAGTAACGGATGTTTGTCGTGCATTACCTCAAATAAAGCTTTGAACTAAATTCCTCCTCTGTATGTAGAATATAGAAACAAAGGCAGCAGTCTAAAGGGGTCGTCAGGGTCGAACCCAGTGATCACATAACGCTGCTCGCACTAAGACTGTACAGTAAAGCCAAGGCAGGCACGGATGTGAGCGGGAGTAAACATCCTGACTTTGACAGTTGACATTGGGAATTCTTTGCAGGTGAGGAACAAAACGTTGCTCCATAATCCCTGGGTCGAGCTGTATCTGTGCTCCGAGAAGGAATTCTGATGGGCTCCCTTCAGAGGGAGTGGAGGGCCTCCCACTGGAATGTGCCAAACGGTACAGCCAAGTCAATGCCGCTCAAGTTTATTGTCCAAAGAGCAAGAGGACAGTTTCCCTGTCTACGACTATTTGTGGCACAACATTTTCCTTAAAAGAACACATGAACACTTTAGGAAATACACTTAAGTGTTAGCTGGGACGAGGGACAGACCAGTTATTGGTCTGGCCTTTGGCCCATCTGCTTTCAGATGTGGACCTTAGTGGGCAATAAATAGCTACTATGATAGAACAGTGAAAGATTAAGAAGATAGAGAAGAACAGCAGTCGGAACTGCAGGAGACAAACTGATCGATCTCAGTTGATCCCACATAAACAGAGGAGAGCTTCCTGATTTAATCGCTCCTATTTCTGTTTTACATATTCACTTATCGTCACCCTTGTCAGTGAAGAAGTCCAGTTATGAATGACAGGTTCTCTGCTGTCACATGCTGTTAAAACATTACATTTAATGTGTGTTGGTTCCAAATATCAGTTACCGGCCCATCTCGTTTGCTAGTCCATCCATCCATCATCTATACATCGCTTAATCCTCACTAGGGTCGTGGGGGGCTGGAGTCTATCCCTCAGGGTGAAGGCAGGTTCACCAGGACAGGTCACCAGTCTATCACAGGGCTACACTTAGAGACAGACAACCAAGCACACTCACATTCACATTTTTTGATCAATTTAGAATCACCAATTAACCTCAACATGTTTCTGGACTGTGGGACGAAGCTGTAAACATGGAGACTCCACGCAGAAAGATACCTGGTGTCCTCACTGGGACGCCAACTGACGACCTTCTAGCTGTGAGGCGACGGTGCTGACCACTGAGCCACCTGCAGCCCTCTTTCATTTAAAAAAAATTAAAAGTATTTTCTTTCTTTCTGACCTTCTGCTTACTTGAAAAAGGCAGGTTTAAAGTGTACATATGGATGGATGGACGATTCAGATTCAAAGGAGAACCATTAGTTCAGAACCAGTAACAAGTTTTCCTCAGTGTCTGAACATATGGCTGCGTTTCTAAACTCCTGTGAAACTGATTTTGTGAAATCCTCCTCCACAGGGAGCATAAATTACTCACAGATCCCATCAGAGATAACAAGCTAACATGCAACAGATGAGGAAAGTCGATTTAAGTCAGCAACTCAGAATCACGTGTTCTCATGTCTGCTGGTTTCTGTCAGGAGGCCAAGGTGAAGAAGATCATGTCCAAGAAGGAGAGGAGGGAGAAGAAGATGTTCTCCTCCAAAGACGATGAACACTTCCTGCTGACCGGAGTCAAGCTGGCTGATCGCAGAGGGTGAGGCGACGCTCTGCAAGGCTTTATCACACAACAGCAGAGAAAACTAAATTTGGTAATCCGCACAATGACAGGTGGAGACGAGTAAGAAAGAAAAATTAGCTTCACATTGTGCTTCAAGCAAATGTGTAAAGTACTGAGTACATTTACTCAAGTACAGCTTTGAGGTACAAACTTTAGTTGAGTGCTTCTGGTTTACGCCTGCTCCTCTACATGCTGTCTGCCACCAGTTACCTCACAGTGTTTTTAAATAAGCAAAGAAATATGACGAGTAAAATGTAATTCATTAAAACGTCAATTATTTTTCACATATGTCGTTACATCACGGGATTTTTTTTTTTTTAATGAAAGCATTAACGTTAGTAGCCAACATGTAAATGATTCATATTAAGTCAAATGTAACTGTTTTATACATTATCTATAATCATATTTTAATCAACGCAAAGTAGCTGTTACCTGTAGCTGCTTCACCAAAATGAATATTTGCATCTGAAATGTGACAAATTAATCTCCAAATTTTTAGAAAAGTATATTATTTGAGTAATGTAAAGAGTTACTTAATGGGTTTATTCAGTCAGTTAATCCTCTGAACCCCGAGCAGGTCATGGGCTTTATTTGCTGCTGTCTTATTTTTACTCACTGTGGCCTCATTTGTTTGACTGCAATATAAAGTTCTGCTCTTCTATGGAAACAGCACAATCATGAATAGAAGCAGAGACGTCAGAATGTTGTTATGCAGGACAACAAAGGTAAAATCCTAAATATCATAAAGCAGAAAAAAAGGTGCTTATTGTACAAAATTTAAAAAAAAAGAAAAAGAAAAAAGAAAGGAATCAACATGTACAACATTTTTACAAGTACATGTGTTACCAATGTTGAAAAATGGTGACTGTGCACACTTCAGAAATTTTACTAGTCACATATTTATGTAAGCAGACCTATGTGCTGTGTGTACACAGCCTGCAGTTCAGCCCAGTTGGGGCAATATTTTTTAGAAGTTTTTGTCACGCAGCTTCATGCCTTCAAGCTTCCTGGTTACAATGAGGAGCACAGATGTTTTTTTCAGGACTTTTGGGCTCTTTTGGACCCCAGGTCATTTGGTTTAGGTGGCAGGTATAGTTTTTTTATTGTTGAAGATTTTTTTAAAATATAAAAATCATCAACAAATATTTAGCACATGTTCTTTCTTCAAAACACCTTCTAGGTCTGGAAACATGAAAGTCCTGAACAGGGTTCATGCAAACAATATATTTTGGTGAATTTATAAATGATTTAGCTAAACTATTGAAGTTTACATTTGCTTGTTTTTTCTGGTTTCTTGTATGTTACACNAGTTTACATTTGCTTGTTTTTTCTGGTTTCTTGTATGTTACACATGATTCTTTCATGACAAAAGCAAAACATCTTTGGGTTTTTGCAATTTCTGGTTATGATGAAATGGTGTAATTTAGGCATCAAAATAAAGCTTCCACAGTTGCATTAAATGTGAAAACGGTTTGATGTGAAACGTTTTCACACTACAGCTAACCATCACCTAAATTTTCAGCTTTTTGCTGAGCTGTGTCACTGTTTTAGTCCAGTTCTCACACTTCTATTGTTCACAGCATCGTTTTTGGCAGCAGTAGCTCCAAAACAAACACTGTACGGTACCTGCTCATCACCAAGCTGCACTCAGTGACTCGCTGGTGAACACAGTGGAGCATTTAACAGCTAAACAGCCAAATATTTTCCTTAGGAGCTGGTTGAAGCCAAATAGAGAGACGGCAATGGATTTGCATTCACTGTGCAGACAGAAGTCCAGAGTCTGTAGCTGCTGGATGTGTTTGCCAACGCATTCAGCATGTCACAGAGCCCGTGTCTCTACGGGACAGCAAAAGGTTTTCCATACAAAGGTGATGATAAGCCAGGCCTGTTTGCTCCCGCTGTGTTCAAGTGGCCCACACAACGTTCTAATAACATCCAGCAAAATGTATGTCACACTTAACCAGTTCAGTTCTGGTGTACGTCACGTCAAGAGAGTCGCCTTCTGCAGCCGTCATTGGTTCAAGTGTCTGAAGGAAAAAACGTTTATGCTCTTGACTAGAAAGAATGAAGTCACTTGTATTTGTTTATATGTAAGACAGAGCTTCATTTGCCAGCAGTTATTAACATTCAGACGCCCTGAAGAGGTGAAGAGGAAAATGCCAATTAATCAGCTCCATCTGACAAACAACTTATTGTGGCTCATTGTGTGGTGAATGTTCCAGCGTTAGGAGGTCTGTTCTAGTCACCCTAACCCACCCAGTCGGGCCTATTCATGGTAAAGGTATGAGTCATTTAAAGTGTTTCTTCTCCGTGTTTCCTCAAAGGTCTCACAAGAAAATCAAGGACGATGAGAAGGAGAAGGAGAAGAAGGACAAGCCAGAGAAGGGCCACTGTTTCTGGGAGAGCGTCACCATGACCATGAGGCAGATCTCACCCGCTAAGAAGCTGGAGAAGATGGAGGGCTGGGAGCCGCCGCAGCTGGAGAGCTTAAACGAGACTGTGACTGACGAACCGGCGGTGCAGAAGAACCAGAGAGGGGACTTGGGGGTGTCCCTCCCCGACTCCCTAAGCGTGCCGTTGGAACTGGCCTCGTGGGGGGGCCGCGGTCTGGAGGAGGACTCCTCCCGCTACGCCAACCTGTCAGACGCCAACGATTCGACGGCTGCCGTCAGGTGGACGGCCCGGGCCAAGGTCAAGCTGGCCGGCATCAGCAGGATGAGCAGAGGGATCGTGTCGGAGGGCGCGTGGGAGGGCTTCAAGTAGCAGCCGACTCTCCTCATCGATGAAGATCTGAACCAAATACCTGCGTGATGTGTAGTCGAACGTGAACGTCGACACGGTGTTGAGATGCTGTAGTGAATCCCTGAATATAACACATGAAGTTTTTTTTTTTAGTCTTTCTTTTTAGCTTTGATGACGATATATGCCAATTTTTATGAATGAACATTTGATTCACTGGCGCAAATCTCAACAAATGAAAGCCTTAAACTACTGTACCGTTTCAACTGTGATGTCCACTGGCCTCACGTTTAGATGTCTGATATTGCCAAGAAATGAGAAGGTTGATTATCAAAGAGAAATGATGAAGAATTATGCAAACCTGCTACTGAAGACTGTTTCTGTCCGTCTCCCTTCTTTTCCTTCTATGCAGTTTACAGCATCTGAGCGAAGAATGTCTGAAGCCTTTAAGTTATGTTTCAATAATGGGCTGTGCAATCATGAAACAGCTTGTAAAATCAGTTTGGGATCTGAAATACCAGTGTGTGTGTGTGTGTGTGTGTGTGTGTGTGTGTGTGTTGTGAAGTGACAAGCTTGTTTGTTTGGTTGAGGTCCAGTTCTCCTGTTGTACTGGGAGCACTGGGGTGATGCCACGCTCACGTCACAGCAGAGTCACAGTTAAAGTTCTGACTTGTGTGCTGCGTTCGTTTCAAAATCTAAAACATAAAATGATAATCACTAACATTTGGCACTTCCTAATGCAGAAGTGCTTTAAAATCAAACAAACATTCACAAGAGCGAATGATGTTCAGTGTGATTAAACACAAATTCAATGGATATTTAGACATATTGTCAATTCATAGTGTAATCAAAGAATCATCTCATACGACATGAACTCGGCAGAATGAATGCAAAGAAATAGAATCGTCTGAATCTGATGCTGAATATTTAAAAAGCCAAACTTTGTACGCTGAGAAGCTTCTCGAGCGGCTGCTCCGAGCACCGATGACGTGCCTTGAATCAAGAAAAGGACATCATGTGTTTGCTGTAAGTTTGAGCCAGACTGCTGAGCTCATCCCACCGCCTGCTGCTGGTGCAGGTAGTCCGTCTACCCAGCATGCACCTGTGCTGCACCGGCTTCCTGGTGTCCAGTCACAAACCAGCATCTCAGGATGACGTGAACGTCACCAGCAGAAGCAGCAGGTGTTTATTTTTGTTTTTAGTCTTTAACGCTGAGTGTACATATCTTTTATATCAGATAGAAAAGACGTGAGTCAGTGGACGGGGATTTCATTCCTACGATGATTTTCTTTTTTTAAATGTGAAAACTTTTCAAATGTACTCGTCACGAGTCTCTTCTTTTTAATCGGTCTACTGAATTTGTTTGAAGTCATCACAGCCAGAAGTGTCCACAGATGCAGCTCCACTGCCAAGGATGCCTGTATTTATTCACTTTTTTCAAAAAGAATAAAGATCCTGTCTGACAGTTTTGCTCTACTTCTTTCAACACTTTGCTGTTTTAGGTCAACATGCGATCTGCTTTACTGTCAACACAAATATGAATTTCACTGGTACAGTCGACCAAACATTTGAAGCTGAGCCACTTTAAAAGCAAACACCAGAGAAATATTGTTGTGTAAACACCAGTTCACTGCACCACCTTCATTCACTAGAGACTAGGGATGGACCGATACCTCTTTTTGATTTCCGATACCGATACTTCAACTTTGAGCATCTGCCTATACCGATACCGATACCATCTCTCCTCCTAAACTTCTTTGGAAATACCTTATTTGCATGGATACATTTGTTTAAGATGCTTTATCAAAAGCCTCAAACTATTAAAGCATGGACTTTGCTTTTCTAAGAAAGGAAAAAATAGCCAAAAGCATGTCTCACAGTGAAACTGTAGCTGCTTTATTTGAGCTGCAGTCAGACCACAGTGTGCACTCAGAGCCATTCACATATTTAGAACAGATCACAATGACACAGCGACATTAAGCTGCAATTTAAAGGTTAAATTACCAAAACATGGTATTAAATAATAGTACCACTAATAGCCTCTCTCGGCTCTGCGCATGAGCAGTAGTAAATGAGGCCGGAAACGTTGTGACCTGCTGCAGGATCGGATCCAATAGGAAGGTTGTGTCTGCAGAGCCGGAGAGCCCCGTACAGGCTGCTGGTAGAGGCTGGACTCGTCTGCTACGGCCCTATAAGTGCACGGCTTCTAGTTCGGGTGCGCGACGTAGTTTTAAAGGGTGATTTCACTCAAAATATACTTCCAATTTTAAAAAAAATATTTAAGAAGAGTATTTTTAACCCCTTACTGCTCCCACGACCCGCCGGCGGGACCACTTTCCAAAAACATTACAGCCAGATGTGCGCATGCTCCACAATCACGTTTCCCGACAACATACACATCAAATGAAAGCTCACAGTCGCCTCTTTCCGATGACATAAACCTTTTGACCTGCAGCAACCACAGCGTTGACACAAAGACTTTTTGTACAGAAAAGCAAAATGTTAAAATCCGAGTTTTCTTACTTTTGAAGGCTCTCTGCAGCTCAAACATCGCTCATTCCTCACCAGCTTGGTCTCATTCTGTCCGGACAGAACCAGTCAACATCATCCCGTAAAATAATTCGGTCCGTAAAACGTATTTAGATCCTCAAAGGCACAAACTCTGCAGTAATGTCTTCCCAGCTTGAGATCAGCTCCGGCTGTTTTATTCATTTCTTCTGGCAAAATCAGCCTGAATCTATTTCAGATCGCGCTGAAAGCGCTACAGGCAGCTAGACGGACGGCTCAGCTTTTGATTGACACCTAGTTTGGCCAATAGGAGGGCTTTGGGGGTGAGTGACAGCCTGAAGGGCCAATGGAGTGTCTCAGACAGTCAACTTGTAGCCAATGAGCATACGAACACGTGGATGTGTCGGAAGGCAGGATTGTGTGTGTGTGTGTGTGTGGCGGTATCGGATCGGCCAGTTACCACTGTGAAGTTAATCATCCCATACCGTAATTTCGTCCAGTATCGGCCCGATACCGATACCCAGTATCGGATCGGCGCATCTCTACTAGAGACCATTAGTATTTATTTTAAAACAGCTGTGCTTTACTTCTAGTTGGGAGCACAAAGGGGAGGCCTGCAAATAAATGGCACGAAAAGGTTGGGACAAGTTTGCTTAAATGATCTTTTTATAATGTACAAACCCATTATGATGGATACTTAAGTCTATAATTTAGTCTTCAGATCACTAATGTATTCCAAACATCTAGAAAATATGGAATAAACTGGCGCAAAAGGTGGTACAGATATTTACTGTTAGAACTTTTCATCTTGCCTCGCCATATCTCAGTCCCCATAAAACGAAGCTTCGTGTCACTAAGTCTTTCTCTGTCCAATCGTTTGCTAAAGTCAACCAAAATCCTTCACCGGCCAACATCCGAAGCTGAACCACTTTAAAAGCAAACACCAGAGAAACATTGTTCCGTACATACCAGTTCACTGCATGTTCAGCACCAATAGAAAACTCAATATATTGATCAGGTTTGGCCATTAAATTGGCAACTTCTCCTTTGTTCCTATGATAAAAATGAAGAGAGACATGAGTAAAAACAGGTTTTTAGAAATATTTAATCATTATATATCTAGTCCCTGCCCCATAAAATTCATGATCGTACCATCAAGAGTATTGGAATAGTAAAGGAATATTACAAAAGTTGGAGGAAGGATACAAAATTTGTTGTTTTTCTGTCCCATAAATGTTTTACATCTCCTCCGTCTGTCGCTTTACAGTTCTGACAAAAGTAGAAAAACATGTACAGCTCGTGGAGGCTTTACGTAACTTCTTTTTTTTCTGTTTAGTTTTGACGCTTCCAATGCACACAGAGCCGAGCGGGAGTTCACAAAGGACGACATCCAGTACGTAAACAGAGACTCAAACATGACATGCAGTTATTGCAGAAAAATGCCACCGAAACGAAAACAGAGCAAGAAGCAGTTTAAACTCCATTAAATAAGTAACACGAGTCGTCTTTCTCTGCCTCGCCGTAACCTCTGTAGTTCACAACCTACCACCGTAAACATGCTAACACTTGTTTTACACAGAAACCCTTTCAAAATACTCATATTGCATTTACATAATACTATTTAGTCCCTCTGTCTGGAGGAGCCTTTTCCTGTCATGAAGACAAATATTTGTGCAGAAGGAGGAAAAACAGAGTTTCTTTTATATTTCTCCCACATTCTTAAAATCGACAAACACAAACATGTAATCTTTCCCACGTCTTATGGAAATATTTGTGCGCATGGAAGTAAAAGACATTAAAAACGCCACTTCTTTCAGTTGAAGCCCTTTGTATTTGGGTAAACGACATCGAGGTCTCGTAAACGCTCCCGGTGCTTCAGGTTGAAGAGCAACGTGGAGGGTTTAGAACTTGAAGAGGTCGATAAAGTGCTGCGGAGAGATGGGCATCAGGCAGCTGTCTGGATCGTTGGCTGTGCACGGGTGGCCAAAGTCCTGCGAGAGAGTCGACAGAAGAGTTAGTAGAGAAAGGAAGCCTCCAACTTGGTGTGAGAAACTGGAACTAAGTGCAGATGACACCAGCGAGTCAGTAACCTGGTCCTAAAGCTGTCTGGGGCTAAGCTGACATCATATGTTCAGCTACAAGGTTGTTTTCATAAATAAAAGTGGCTCAAACCAAAATTGGTGAGAGCTGTGAGACTGAACCAAAACATGAGGCTGAAAAAACTGATTGAAGTATTAACGCTGCACAATGTGGAATTAGCCAAATTAACTCAAACAGATCATTTTTTGCTGCTTGACACAAAAAGAAAACGTGCATGGTTCTCAGCATCCTCTACTGGTCGACAAGAGAAGTCTGTCTGGAACACAGGGGTTCTTTTTGTTCAATAAAGAAATGCACCATCGGTCATATGGGTATGTCTTGGCTACTGAAAGGGTCGTGATGACCAGAAAACAGGTCGGCAACACGACTAATTTGCTTAAATCAGTAACTGCAAAGCCAGAAAACACCTATTTGGGATGTCCAGCCAGTGTTACATCTTGTAAAGTTCCAAAGAGGATCTTTTTTCAGCTCTTTAATGATTATTTTGGATGAGCTCTTCTATGTAATCAACCCAATCATTCTGGACTGACTGATGCTTTTGCAATAGTTGCTCAAGTCGTTTGGTGAAAGATTCCTGCATTGTTTCATGTATGTGTTCATCCTCAGGTGTTACTGCTGCTCCACAACTTCTACACCTGGTACAATATGGAATATAGTCACAATATCTGATCTGGAACTTGAAATGTTGGTAGTTAAGCTACATATATCGAAAAGTGTTTAAAAGTAGTTAGCAGAATGTATGTAGGACTTTACACACAAGTGATGGATTCACACATGACGAGACAATCCTGAGAGGATCGAAACATCTGCATCAGACAAAGAGACGGCTGACAGGTTTGTTCAGGCAACTCAACATTCAGAAGAACTTATGATGGAACAAAAACAAGCAGGTTAAGTTAGAAGGAAAGAATGCCACAACGTGACGACACCAAGTGAAACGGAGATACGCTACAAGACAAAGCTCGACAAATGAAAGTAGATGTGCCGTAAATCGGACTCTCGGTGAATGAGACGAGCTGGCAGATGAGGAAACAGAAAGGCACGATGGGACAGCAAGTACCTTGAATAACAAAGCCAGATGGCGATCCTTAAGGAATCAGGGAGGAGAAGGCAGGAAGGACGGGAGACAAGCAAGGAGAGGGATGCAGAGAAGGCAGAAGGTTAAACGATCCAGCCGAGGAGGGTGACAAGTTTGTGGGATGTAAATACGGGCACAGAGAGAGGGAACTAATACTGCAGGAAAGCCAGTGTTAGCTTCTGTCAATACAGATGATTTGAAGAAGCTGCTAACTCTTAAAAACATGCACATTGTCTAACACGTGGTCAAAGATCAGAGCTCATGAGTCACTGAGGGAAAACAAGTCATCTGTTTGACCTTTGACTGCTTTGTATACGTGTCTGAGTACGACGCAACGGATCACAACCGTTAGCATCGCCAGCAGGGCTTAGGCGCCATTATGTGCCTGATTTGCTTGATCCTCGACACGCTTTAGTAGAATTTAGAAAAGGAGCAACTCCACAGGTTTTTCTATTGCTCCAGAAAGCCAAATATTCTAATGATAGAGATGTGAATAGATGCATGATTGATCATCGTACGAGAGGCTGTGTGAATGACCAAACTGTCTCTTCGTCAGTGTTGCTAACGATAAGTGAAGATTTTTCTGTCTTTGCCAATGCAGATACAAGCATGCTGTTAATGTGATGGACAACTCTAAAATGAAGTACAACTTAAGAACTATCAGACCTGAAGCTTGGGTTAGGGTTAATCACTGTCCTCTCTTGTAACACACAGCTTGTGCTTTACATGCAAATACCACCAGTTAGTCGTGTGGCGTTGTGTTTTTGTGCAGGTGTGTTTGTCTACCTTCCAGAAGAGGATGCTACAGTGTTTGCAGAAGTGCAGCGTGTCGCCGTACTGCTCCTTCATGGGGTAGTGCTTCTTCAGGTTGAAGTACATGAGCTTCCAGTCCACGTTGTCACTCTTGGTTAACACCAGATTATTAGAAAACTGTAAATGTGTAGCAGACACACACACACACACAGAGAAAAGTAAAGAAACACATTTACCAGCCATTGAAAACACTGGGGACATGGATGTAATTAGAAGTGGAACAAAGAGTAATTAGATAACCAAGGCTAATTTCTCATTAACACCAGTCTTGAGTGGATGTGTGATATCTGTAAAGTGTGTGTGTGAGAGAGAAAGAGGCTGAGAAAACTGGTTGTGAGCTGAGAGCAAAGTGTGGCAACGCTGCCCTCTAGTGGTCAAACGGGCTCTACTGTCTTCATCGAGGGCTGCCACCTCATTGGATGCTTAACCATAAACTACGATTGTAAGTTTTAAGGTTTTTTGTTTCTTCAAATTAAGGCAACTCAGTATTAAAATGACAGATTCAGCTGTGATGCTTAAATATGCTGCTCTCTCTCACCGGTTTGTCTTGGAAGTGAAAGTGGCAGAGTTTCTTCCACAGCGTCCTGTTCTCGCTGAGGATGTGCAACGTGGGCGTGGCCTGTCCCAGGTTGATGATGTCGCAGGCGTCAGACAGCTTGAAGAGGATCTTGTTCTGCATGTGCAGAGGCAAGTCACTGAGCGACATGCCGGCGCACATTTGCTGAGGAAACAATAATCACAACCAAAAAACAGAGTTAGAGCTGGACTGTGCAGGATGAAGAACTAAATGCACAAAAATGAAAAGTTCTTGCATCATTCTCTCCACTGAGGCTGATGTGCAACGATTCATGCACAGTTAAGCAACAAGTAAGCAGCTGCAGATTATGAATTAGTACTTCTCCTTTCATGTTTCATGCTCCTCACTCGCTTAATTGAAAATGGGAGCAGCTGTACTGTCTCAGAGGTCAGGAGACTCAGACCTGCAGCACCACAGGCTGTTGGATTTTTAGCGTAGTTCCCTTTAAAATGGAATGTTGACATACTGGCAGCTCAAATTTGACTCGAAGGCGTGTTGAGGCCCGGAGCAAGACCATAAGCATACCGATGTATATCAAACAATGATCTGCGTCCTACCTTGGGGATCTGCATGTTGTTCAGCTCCTGCTGCCATTTAACAATGGTCTCCAGACGACACAGCCAGATGTTGACGTTGCCCACGAGGACACATCTGCCAACGTGGATGGTCAGACTGTGCAGTGTGGAGCTCAAGTCCTGCAGAAGCTCCTTGACAAGGCGTGGGTTGTAGTGGTCCTCCAGAACTAAAGTCCACATTTCAAAAACAAAGAAACAGAGGCGCAAAAAATAAGAAACAAAAATATTAGCAGCTAGTACAAAGCCTAATGGAGAGACATGGACGTATAACTCAGATGTAACAACAAATCCCTCTTTCAAACTGCATCTAGAATCAAGCTTTTCCCATAAACCACCTTAAAACCACCAATCAGCCCTGAAACACAGATTTTTATTATTTTTCCAAGTCACCCTTTCAAAAACAGATGGGAGGGAAATATCAGAATAAAAACATATCAAGGTCTTTTAGAGGACTTCTTTGGCTTTGCGTCACAATGTGCTTCACAGTTCTTCTGATCCATATGAACAATCTGTGTGTTGGTTCAGTAGAGTCATGATATACTGCCAGGTAAGGGGATGGCTGTACGTATTATGGACAGGAGTGCTAATTATTTATTTTCTAAACCTGACCTAGGACCGTATCCTGCTGCTGGTTGTGAACGCACACGCTTTTCCTGGCTGTGATGGTGAATAAGGGGTTTCATATAAAGTTAAAACCAGAAGTTTAAATCCACTGTATACATAGACATAAAACCTTTTGTCTCACCGTCTCTACATGTAACGTAATAAGTCTTGTGCCGTCGCTTTCACAGCACCTTCTATAATATTGTGCTGGTATGTCAGAACTCAGTTACTGTGATGTAAAAGTAGTCCTCAAAAAATTCTCGCCATGACGTTTCATGGACTCTGTGTACAACCTCTATGGCTCTGTATAAGAAAAAGAAAACTGAAAAAAAAGAAAAAAATTGTACATTTGTGAAAAAATCTGGAATTTGTTGCTGAAAAGAACCGGTATGTGTTCGCCAGATATACAGACACTGTCAAAGAACGCGAAAGAAGAAGGGCAGCATTTCACTGACAGAAGCACCACCCTGTAATGATGGAGCACACTGGTCCTACTGGCTTTGTGGTGGAAAATGATTGCTGTGACTAAGAGGAGGCAACAACTTCTGGTTGCTCAGAGCCTTAGCACTCAGAAAAGAAAGTCTGTAACATATGAACATACGGTTTCCAACACCAGACTGATCTAAATGTGAGTACTGGCCGAGTCTAAAACCTGAAATAATAGCGCCTGTCCAATACATCCACTGCACACGCCATCAGCCTCTGCCCCAGGTCTGCTTACCCTTTCGTACAATCTTTTCCAGTATGTTGAAATAGTTTTTCTGGGCAGCTCCACTCAAAGAAGTCAGCTGAGACCTGGCTATGAGCTGAAAAAGCTGTGGGTGACAAAAACAATAAGAGGTCGAGTCATTTGTGCTAAACCAAAGTGTCCGCAGCGTAATTAGCAGTCATCATCGCTCACCTTTGCAACATAGTTGAATCGTCTCAAGTCCTGAATGGCGCTGGAAAAGTCCAGACGGTTGAGCGCTTCGCCAAGTGTGCAGTATCCATGTCGCTGTCGGTGCACATGAAAACAGATGCATAGTTTAATAAGACTTATTTGGTTAAAATACACCCTGCTGCTGTTTCTGGTAACAGCAAGTCAATCCTTCATGTGAGAATGACAAACAAAGCTTCAGCACTCACTTCTTTTGTGCTCCCTTTCTGCACGTAGATCCATTTATCCCTGAAAACAACTGAAAAAGGAAAAACACACACATTTATACAGCTATGGTTTGGTACATCTGTCTATTACAATGGTTATTTTTTCAAGCCTTTAGTTTCTGACATTTTTGCACTAGACTTGCATTTTAGACTTTTCCTCATATTGTTCCCTCTGTATATGAGGGTAAACCTATGTACTGAACTACAAGCAGCTCTGCCACAGTTTCAACCAACACTGAACATTCCTGCAGGGCTGTTGTGTTCACAAAACTAACACGAAACAGGGTCTATTTAACAGAATGGACTGCAATGACTGAAGAAATGCTTGCCGTCTTTCACTGAGCAGCATAAATAATATACGTATCTCTACAGAGGCCCCTGAGGTTCAAAACTCTACAGTGTACCGTTCAAGTATAAAAAGGAAAAGTGCAACAGGTTGGCTCCTGTCAGTGGCACATTAATAGATGGACTGATATTATTGGCCCACTCATGTGAAACAAGGGTGTCGAGTGACAAATTAAAGGAAAAACTTCCCCCTTGAGCCTTAGAGTGGTGGTGGACAGAGGGCAGCATGGTTTGAGCTCACTTCTCCCTTCAAAAGGGAACCAGTTCCTCTATCCACAGGGCGACACTATTCTATCACTGAATGTTTAGATGAGTCTCATTATATGCTACGGCCTTCACAGTCATCAGATTTCAACCAAACTGAACACCTAAGGGAGACTCTGGGCTGAAATTGTTAAATATCACTTCCCAACACCATGTCTTTGTGGAGAATGGTGTTCACCATCCACTGGGGTTCTAGAGACTTGGAGAACCTGGAACTGAAGCTGTTCTGGCAGAATGAGGCGGCCACAGAACATATGAAGGAAACTCTGTTCCTTTCCTTTAACTTGTCACCCATGTATATTTAGATAGTTGGATGTATCACAGCTCGTATGTTTTAGGTAACTTTAGTTTTTTTAAGTAAGACCTTAACCTACAAGCTATTGCTGCCACATATGGAAGGACTCAAATAAATAAGCTAAGTACCCTAAATGGTACAAAAATACAGTAGATAAGTAAATGTGCTTATGTACGTCACTCCAATGATGGATTGCACAAAATGTGAGATAATGTGAGATGGTGAGCACTCAGGACCATTGTAAAGCCGCCCTGCCCTCTCTCTGTGTGCTTGTGTTCACACGCCTGTCGTTTTCATAGCAGAGGCCAAAGCAGCGTTACGAGCGGCTGAAACTCACACTGGGACTTGGTGTTGTTGTTGTAGAAGTCCTTTTTCCTCTTTGTGGTGGCGAGCTCACACACATCCCCGACAAACAGATTGTCATTGTTGTCGCTGCAGAGCCTGTTCAGACGGAGGAAGCATGTTGGAAATGTGTTAATAACACCAGTGCAACCAACACACCATGTAATTACAGGTGGCTGTAAAGAATCTGCTCTGCTGTGGCGTCCTGAAGGCGCAGGCAAGGTGCTCAACAAGGTTATAAAGTTAAAGCTCAGCACAACATGGAGCTAAAGAGTGAATCTTAATGCTCATTGTCTGTTGTGCATTCATTGTAATTATTATCCTGATTACATGCAGGCTAAGAGGAGCCACATGACCAACGATGTGAAACTAGAATGATTCATCTGTCAGGACGCAGAAAACGCTACAGATGGCAGATATAGATCACAAGCTACGAGACACAAACATGGATGTGACTCAGACCAGCTTTTCTCAGACAACAAGCAAAACATGGTGTCAGATATAAATCTCAAAACATTAGGAGATACCTCTGTTGTTTCTGGCAGGCGTTCTGGCCGTGCTATTTGTGAAAAGATAAATCTGAACACTTCTGACAGCTGACCTCAACTCGACATGTAACAGCACTGAACCCTGGAACCGGCTCGGCTCCAACAGAAACACAAACTGCAACCAGAGGCCGCTGCGATGGGACCAGGATGCCCGTAAACATGCTGATGTTTTAGCAGTCGGCCAGCATTCACATCGCAGTCATCTCTATCTAGATCTCAACTACACGCCTGTGAACTTTCTAGCGGCATCGCGTTGACAAAATGTGTCCACACACACAGACAGATATATGAACACCTGACACGTGTCTCCTCAATCACAGCTCACCATGATACCACCAAAACAGACTGACAAGATCAAAACAATAGCTACTATGCTACGTGGCTGTTCAAACAGATCACCTGTATCCAGATGATCCAAGGGCCTGCCTTTGCAAAGACATGAACATTTGCTGCATTTCCTATATTGAATGAAAACGCTTTAACCCTAGTGTGTGTAATCAGCTACATTTTCACTCTTACAAATTAAACTGCTAATTAAGGAAATGATGGCAACACCTTCGATACGTCTACGTTCAAGGTAAATGTCAAATAATGTCAGCATTCGCCTCACATTTGAGCGTCTGTTGGGAACCTACAAATAATAAACATTGTTGTTTGGGTCTGTTTGTACCTGAGGCAACATCTACACATTCTTCATCCTCGTGGAACTTTGCTGCAATATTTAAGATTCGTCTCCTGATATTGGAGCCAAACCTGTAAATAAAATGCCTTTCCACATGTATACTTAACGAGGAAAGGTGAGAAAATGCTAGGATGTAATTAGACGAAATGAAGGAAAGCTGAAGCGGTGATCTGTGTGTAGGCGGTTAGCTCTGTTTGCAGATCTTCTCTGATGACCTCTGACTGACAGATCAAAGGGCCGAGCTGCTCATTGACTCTCCACGCATTAATAATCCATCGGCTGAAGCTGAGCACCTGACTGGCAACGCTACTGGCTCGGAGAGCGCTTTGGTCAGCTGATTGGCAATTACATTCTGAGAATATGTTCTCAGTATTGGCAATCATAGCTGCGATATTTGACTGGTGCAGGAGTTAATGTGGAAGAAGAGCTCCTCACATCTTCAGAGTCGTTTCCTCTGGTCTGTGGTTTGATTTGATAGAGGTAGCCAATGAAAATAGAGGATAGTTTCCTTTTACAGGAAATAATGTGGAGATTAGTGCTTTTCCAAACATATATATAAAGCCATATAAGATAGTAAACTAGTTATCTTGAGTTATGGGTACATTTCATCATTCTCACTAATCAGCAGCTACCGCTATGAAAACACCTGCTAGCTGCACTTCAGGGTCAGGACATGATCCAACATCCACCTCTCTGTGACGGCACACTCTGGCTTTCAGCATGGCTCTTCACAACGACCACATCACAGCTGACGTTTTTGGAAAGAGCCAGTTTTGAGAGACAAAAGCTCGGCCTTCAACAGCTTTTGCTCAGGAAGACTGTGCCTGTGTTTTCTGCAGCAGTGGCAATGTTACCCCACCTGACTGAAGAATCCCTGGAACACACATAAAGTCACAATCCTTTCATTTGAAACGGACTGATAAGAAGGCTTTGCTGTTTCAGAGAACGACTCATAAGATCAAGAGAAAAAGCTCTGGAGTGTGTGGTACTTCTAAATGAAAGTACTCTGTGAGAAGCTGGACAAAATGTTTACTCCAACGTAGCCGTCCTCCACAGAATTGCTCTCGGATGATGAAACTAATTTACTTTTACTGAAGCATAAATGAAGACACGGTTTCGCTTGTCTGGCTGCCAAGTCGACTGATCTGAGTGAACTAGCACCCCGGTAATCCCTAGTTGTCTCTATCCATTTATCCAACTGCGCATGCATACACACAAACACATGCGAGCACAGTAATCTGTCCCAGTGGATTACATGTGAGGAATGGAGTACCACAGCTGTTGTTCTAACAGGTTGCATGCACAATACCTTCTTTACTGAGCCAGTGAAGATATCACACAGCAGCCATAAAGTCTGAAGGATTTATTGACAGTTCAACAAACTCCTGAAATCCACAGGGGCCGTATAGAAAGCCAACAGTAACACTAAAGAAAAGTAGAAAAGTATGAAGCTGACACTGAGCTTTTTCTGCTGTGGATGGATGCACTGAAGCACCTCCCTGACACTTCAGTAAGGGACAGAGGTTTGTGGACAGTCAAAGAGACACTAAGATCTAAAGCGGTGGTGTAACAGTGTGTGCCGTCTCTCGTTCTGGCCCACATGTGCTGCTCTGTACCTCGGTTGCATGAAACCATGGCCTCTCTGCGTGAGACTGTCTGGAGAGCTGCCACATTGAAGAGATGATGTCATGAGCTGCTGTCTGACGCTGTGCCTTTTTGTTGAAAAGACTGCTGACGAGCGAATGTGGTACCGCGAGGCACTGTTAGCTGACTGATCGATGGAAGAGGCGACACTGTGACCAGAGGGAGACGTCACCGACGGCTGCTGGGATTCAGTCAGGCTGGTTGTTTCAGCGAGGACTGCTCATGAACCAGCATGTCAGCAGCTCTGGTCTTTGCAAGTCAAGTGAGCGATCGTGTTAGGCGCTCTGTGTGCGTCCAAGTTCAGCTGTTACTGAGGTTGTTTTTGTCTGACTGGTCTACATTTTGATTCCTCGCCCCTAAAGGTTAGTGATGGCTTGATTTCAGACAAATTTGAATAAAAGCTGCTTTGAGATGATGTCTGTCTGCTGTATTTGAGACATTTTGTTTTTTTGGTTTTTTTTACATAATGCTGGTCTAAACCCATAGTTCCAGCCAGTCACACAAAAAACCAAGATGGATTCCTTTTCTGTCACACGCTATCCCATTTAACACCTACCAAATTTTATTAAAATGCCTTCGACAACAGACATTTTTCAGGTGCGACGGAGCAGCAGAAAGACACACCAGGTTGTGAAGGTGTGTAAAGTCCAGAAGGTGCGGATAACAAGCCCGAAACACACACACCGACGTTACCTGTCAGGTCAAAACACAGCTTCTCCCTCATCAGGGCGCTGAGACGGACGTTAGCATCGCACTTCTTAGCTCCTGTCACTGTGGGTTTAGCTGTCACTGCAACTCTATGAAATAAGCACAACTATGGCAACGACAGACTTGATAAAAACCTGACTCAAGCTGCTTGTTTTTGTCATGATGCTGATGTAAGCCAGTGGTTCTAGTCAGCTACACAACATGCCATTCTTTTAACACTTTCCGAATTCCAACGAAATGCAGTTTACAACAGACATTTTCTAGGTACACCTAAGAGATGGAGTCAGACAAAGACAAGCAGCAGAATGACAACCAGGCTACGAATGTGAAGGGTGTGTTAAGTACAGGGGGCGCAAACAACAAGCCTCGCATGAAGCCGCAGGAGACAGATGGAACAGAAAGAATGGACACTGAAGGAGTGAACGCCCGCTCATCTCTCTACTTATGGGACAACTCCTCGCCCGGTGGCATACGTCTAAACAGTCCATGTTTCCTGCAGATAACAAGGTAAGAGCTCCTGCTGGGATGTAATACAGACCCGAAAGACTGAAAACAGAGCAGGACTAAAATAGCTACTCTCAACAAACAGCGGTCATTACAGTCTTTCAGCACACTCAACGGCATTCCAGCAGTGCACAACAGCTGTTTGAACGTGGAAGCTACTCTTCTGTGTGCTTCTGTCAGAAAAACTGGTATGTTAACATTCAGCACACAACTTCAATCCCACACCTCAGAGACACCGTTCACATGCTGCAAACATTCAGAAATAACTCTAGGAGACGTACGCATGCAGCACAGCGCTGACCTCTGGGATGATGTGGCCACTATGTGTGATTCACAGGCATCTGAAAACACGATTTATCCACCAAAACTACTGTTTAATCTGCAGGATTACTCTCTTGTGCCCTGATACGTATGAAGGCAGTCACTCTGCTCTCACTGGAGAAGTGAAGCAATGAACTGAGCATTGTGTTTACTGGACACAGTGAGTAAATTCAGGAGTGAGACGTCATTGAAAACTGTGATCCTGGTGCTTTACTTCTACAAATACCGAACTTGTTCCACTGTTTCCAACCTACTCTGTTTCGATATTAACACAGTTTATGGTTTGTCATTCAATCAAATGGATAAACATGCAAAATGACCCAATTCCAAGGATTCTTGTATATGAATCATTACACAGGACTGCTGGTTAGGATTACTATATTACCACCAGTTGACTGATTCCACATGTGTGTGCTGCTCTGAGGAGATACCGGAGGTCACACAGAAAACACTCAACCGAAATACTTCAGATTTTGGACAGAATCAATGTAGGACTTTTTTTTTACTGTTATATGCAGTAAAGTTCTGCAGCTCTATGGAAACAGAGTAAACACGGCTAGAAGTAGACAAAACTGAAGGGTTAGGGTTGTACAACATTTTCTCAAGTGTCCACAGGTGTTACTATTACTTGGGGAAAATGGTAGCTCTACAAACTCTAGATATTTTACAACTGATTTTTTCAAAATGAGTTTCCCTGCGAGTCACCTACGTGTCCTGTGTGAACACAGCCTGCAGCCCAGTTCAGCCCAGTTCAGCCCAGTTCAGCCCAGTTCAGCCAGAACAAAGGCTGAAGGTTTGCACACAACTGCTGGCCACAAGTCAGTTGCAAAGGGTTTCTCGGAGAGGAACGCAGAATATTTGTTTTGCTACATACATGATTTTTGCAAATGATTTTTATTTGGCGTTTTTAAATGAAAAACTGATTTGGATAAAGTATCTGGATTTTAGGTTTAGATTTGGTTAACTTTCTAAATGGAAAGGCACATCACACATTCATGTCTGGACCACTGGGGGGTTGAAAATCCTTCACCTCTTTAGGTTTTCACAGTTTCTGGCTCTTTAAATGGTGTAATTTTGGCAGTTTATCAAAACATAACGTGCTCATCAAACCCGCCAACAGGTTTTGGGGTTTCGAGGGTCAATGCATCTAAATGACCAAGTACGGTGAACTCGTTTCATTTGTCATCTCTTCTTAAGAGAGATGGAATACTTGTATCCAGGTAAGTACCCTCATCTCAGTTATTTCTAATCTCTCCTCTTACAGAATACACTGGAGACACTTTTGTCTCATGTAAAATGCCCCTCAAGTCTCTCGACTGAACCCTCTATCCTCACTCTGTCTGTTGCCATGGCAGCCCTGTGGCAGCATCATCACCTCATCAAAGACTCTCTGCTATGGCCCTGATAAGAGCTGGCTGAATTATTTTCTCCCTGGCAGGGAGCAGCTACGGCCTTATCGGTGCAACTGGGTCCAGAACCACGGTTTTCATTTGCTGACTTTTTAAAATATTTCTACCACAGTTTACTGGAACAGGACGCACTTGTTTGTCTTCAACCTCAAGGAGATTAGATTTTTAGCCACACACGAACGCATACTGTAGCTCGAGGAAACGCATCAGTAACACCGAACTACAACAATCCATAATGCGTCGTAACAGATCGTCCCAAGTTATCGCTAGTCAAAACACAACAGATGAGCTTTGTGTTACCCTTTACTGCATGTCCTGTGCCATCTCTATCCCTCAATTTCCTGTCTGCTCTCCGCTGTCTTGGGTTTATTAATGGGGAAAAGCCTCCAAAAATATTTGGAGGATTTTTTGGGGGAAGTTGGAAAGTGTCTGAAAACTACGTCAACATTTAAAGTGAGCCTTGGCAGCCAGTCAGTCCACCTTTAAGCAAATCTAAGCTACATTAGTTTAGTGAGACAGAGCAGCTCAGAATACCAAAACCCTGCGTTATTTTACATTGCTTAGGTATTGTAGCTATCCATTTGTAATACTATTACAGAATACACGCACAACTCTGAGTCTATAGAGGAACAATAAAGTTTAACAAATGGAGTGCTACAAAAGCCACCTACTTTCATTACATTTACTGTCGGAGTTCTTTTTCAAGTAGGATATAATACAGTCAATGAATGAAGTGAAAGAGAGCACAGGGCTGACTGATGTATTCCCAACCAAGATCATAAAGCCACAAAGATATTTGAGACATACAAAATACTGTAAATAGACTCATATCTGATGCAATGAACTATGTTTTATCATCATGTTTCAATCAGACAAAAACTCCAGTTTTGTTGGTTTTTAACTACATCAAACTCTAAATCCAGACTTTGAGCATTAAATAACATTATGATCAAATCATCAAGAAGCGCCAAGAGTCTGTCAGAACTGTTTTCAAGCTGTAACATTATTTTATGATTGTAGAAATTAATCAAAGCACAGCAGGAGAAAAGGCATGTTACGTAGGGCTGTAGGGGAAACACTAGTTTAATACAACCGTATGCATAGAATCTAAAACATTTGAAGACTTTAAATGCAGTCAGCTAAGTCTAATCCAATCTGGCAAATCAGGAACTAAAAAAATGTCCAGAGAGCGACGCAGGTTGCACCGGTTAGGGTTCGTGTTACTGAGGGTTAGGGTTATATAGGAGACAATGGCAAACAAGTTCAGATCTTACTCTTTCAAGTCTATCTCTCTGTTGTTGTCCTCCAACTCGTGTCCAAAGAAGACCATCCTCTTCCAGCCGTGCTCCGTCTTCGTCCAGCTCCATCCTGGCGACCTCCAGTCCTTGCCCAAGAAAGGCATTTTGCTGGGCTGGGGGGCAGAGAGGGTCGCTGCCACTCCAAACACCTGAAGGGTGAAGCAGCTGTGGTTAGAAGAAGATTTATTTCATTCCTATCAGTCACTACTTGAGTAGCAGTAGCAGTAAAGGTTACGGTGGAGGCAGGCAGCCATCCTGACTGACCTTCCCCCAGCTGGTTTCTTATCCTGGTCTACATCCACCCTAAAGCTTCAGACCACATCAGGACTGTGTTGAGCAGGTTGGACCTCACATCCCCTGACGGTCCAAAAGTCGTCCCATGTAATATAATGTGAGATTTATAATGTGGTTTATTGTTTTGTGTCTTGCTATGAAATACTCAGTGAGCTTTTGAGGTGCCCATAACTGTATTGAATATCTGATTTAGTTTTTCTTTTTTTCTGTCTTTTCTGGTGAAGGAAAGGTTTTTTTGTTCCTTTCCACTGTTGCCAAGTGTTTGCTCCCAAAGAAAACTTTGGATTTGTTGTGTTTCTCTGTGTAAAGTCTGCAGCGTACTATGTGAAGGGTTAGGGTTTGATGAGCTGACTGAAGCTCTGCTATTGAACCACTATAGCTGCAGTTTGAAGGACGTGTTATTTTAAGGTTTGAATTTCAAATATAGAAAGTCTTCAGTATTAAAAAAAATATATACTGAAGATGCTCAAATTAATTTTGAATATTCTGGTGAGAACTGGAGTAAAAATCAGACATTGAAATTCACCAAAAAAAGATGCAAATTTCAAACTTGAAAATTACTGTCAGTCAGTTATTTTGATTCTAAAAAGATAAGAACAAACGAGCAACTAGAAACCAGGCACAGCTGTTCCTCTCAGATGAGAGTCTCAACAGCACCTGATTCACAGCAGCCTCTCTGCTGCAAACTCAGCGTCATTGAACCGTTAGGACTGAACGGTGATGATGGACTCGGTGGGTTCGGGCTGTCTGCCTCCACACCAGCCAGAGGGCCAGCAGCTGTTTCAGGGGTTTAACACTGACATGAGAAATGGCACACTGAGCCAAACTGCTTTTAAAAACAGAAATGGCAGCGTTTGTGACGCATTTATCTCTCTTTAGCGTTTTTGGACAATTACAGGTCGTCTAACGGTTAAAAATGGCATAAAACAAAGATGTCAGTCGACTCAACGCATACAACAACGACAGTAACGTAATGCAGAATCTACATTAGGCTAGAATAAGACTGGGGGCTTAATAAAAAATGAACAGACCTTTAAAAGGCAAGCGACTCCTTTGTTGTGCCGTCAGTCTCTGGCCCCGCCGCCTGCCCTGCTGCAAATATTGACGGAAGTAAATACAGCGCGGACACAGGCGTTCGTCCCCGCCCCCTGCTCGGCTCTGATTGGACGACGCGTCTGTATTTATCTTGTTGCTACCCGGAGTCGCGTCGCTGATTGGCTGAGCGGCACCGTCAGTCACCTTCTCGCTTCTCTGTAATCCTCTGTGTTTTGTTGGGGCTTTCTTCTACACGTGACAGCGCGCTGCGCACATGTACTTGTGTTTTGGTTTTGAGATGGGGGATGGGAGCTGGACCACTGGATAGATAGGGAGGAATGGGGCTAGGGAACATTTTTCTGACTTCATGCGTTTTTCTAGCAGCCAGAAGCCTTCAGTTTAAACCACTTTTATCTAGGTCACAATCTTATTGACGTGGGAGGCGCCTACTCTCATTCATTGTTAACATTTCACACATTTCTTCAATAAATCTTACATATTTTTAATATGTTGCATTCAGTGGAGTCTCTGGAGAAGTCTAAGCTCAGATCGAGCTTTTTTCAAAGTAGTTTTCATTCAAGCCTTTCAAACCTGAACCAGATCAGGTCCAGGTTTATGCCTGCACATACAAACAGTAATGCAGATATTTCAGATCCCTGAATGTTACAATGACAGAGCATCTTAACATTTACTCTTCATTGCTGTTTCTTTTTAATCTTTTATTATAAAGAGTACAAATATCGAATTTTCTCTTTACATATCCATTAACATTAAAATAGAGACACTTATAACAGTAATAATCCTGTATAACATAATGATCAACAGTACTCGTGCATATTTCTTGCTTATTTTAATATCAGCAGTATTTATGTATATTTATTGATTATTTTAATTTTCTAGTGCTCTTCCTTTGCTGCAGATTATCTTACAAAACAGTCTTAAACCAGAAATTAATTTCTGGCAAAACACAAAACAGCAAACATGATTACAGAACAAAAAAAAAGTTAATTAAACAGCTTAAACTTAGTCTAAAATGAAAAGTTAAGTCACATGAAATAAAACTCAGGAATTTAATCGAACCAAACTGGTTTTCTCATTAAACACTTTATGAAAATCATTTGTGTGGCTCATGTGTAGTGTTATTACGTGCCTTTTTAACAAGTTAACTTACATTAAATAACCATTTTATTTTCATACTCTGGGAAGTTACCTGCAAGAAAAGCTGAATATCTGGCTTGTGCATGTACATATTGATCAGGTTACAGTTATATTCTTACCTTTTCCGGAGAACGTCAAAAAGCTAGACACACTTCCAGCCGTTGGATGAATCCGTATCGTAATTCAGGCACTTTTGCAGCAGGTTTGTCAACCAACAGGGAGGAGCTGGAGCACCTGTAAGGAAGATTTTTCAAATTCTTGACTTCCTCTCTGCACACTGCCTTTTGTAGTAGTTTTCATCAGTTTGTTGTAGGTTGTATTAAATGTGTGTTTTACACAGCTGAGACCAAATCTTGTCATCGCATTGGCCTCCACTCAAAACAAATGTTTAGCTTTTTGTTACTTATTTTGTTATCAATAAATTACATGAAACAAGGAAAGTGAGCCTAGCATTTGCTGGGTTGTCATCTGCATTTTTGCAGGATTGTAACTTTAGTTCTAGACGAGTCAGACTGATGTCCATCATTAATCATGCTGTAGGATCTTATTATGTAGTTGTATTATAATTAGGTTTTGTGGGCTTTAGTCCTTAACATTGGAATTGCTAAGTCTGCAGGGCCTCAAGCTCAATATTTAAACTTAATCTAGGTTTTTCTACTTTTGGCTCAGTGGTTGTTGCTTTGCGTGTGCTTTATAAATAACTTAACTTGACGTCACCTGACCTTTACATGGCAGAAAAATGTATGCGCAGAGTTTGATGTATGTGCTCGGAGGGAAAGGTCTCTTTGCAGCACTTTACATTTAAGACTAATTGCCTGCAAGTAGGGTTTTTTGACAGCACAACAATTTTAGATGCTGAAAGCAGCCTAATAATAACATTTAAGTACAATGTGGGAACCTGAAACATCCAAATCACACATAATGAGACCAGTGCAGCAGAGGCTAATGGAACATTTTTGTAGGGGGGAAAAAACATAGCAGATACAAATTGTTATTCGGAGGACTGAATATGCAAAGAGAATCTTGGAACGGTCAAATCTTAAGTCAAGCCTTTGGGAATTGGGTCACAGGAAAGTTAAACACAGAGCAGTCAAGTGTGGGAGTTAAAGCATTTCCATCAAGAACTTTACATTTCTCTCATAGTCACAGATAATCTTCAGTTATAGGAGAGATGAGCTTTAAATAGCTCCTGCCTTTATTTTTCTCAGATTGACTGACATCAAGCATCCACTTAGACTAGTGTATGAGAGTTCATTTAGACTGTGAGTCTTGCTGTTGGACACTGCCCCCCTTAGGCTCCATTCAGGAAACTCAAGCAGTTTGCTATCATCTATCCCACTCATATTTACTGTCTTTCTGCTGCACACACAGGCAGTTGACAAATTAAAGTTTTTTAAAAAATGGAATAAGTGAGTTGAGATTCACAATAAATACAGATGCTGCCACACAAGGTCACAACTTGGTAAAATTAAACATCCAATCATGTTCTGCTGCATGAATAAAAATGCTGAGCAGGCTCAGTTGATTCAGATTTTTGCATGAAGACGGCAGAAGGAAAGCTTCAGTCAGAAAGACGGCTAAGTTGGCTAGAAAAACATCAGTAAACAATGTTGTGGTCGATACCATGCATTTGATGTCTGTGATCCTTTGGCTATAGTGCATCAGTAAAGAACAACAGAAGATTAACTGTTCCTCATGTGAGCATGTTCATGAAAGACGTCATAAGACTGCATCGGCAAGAATAATCTGTCAACAGCTACATAAAGCGGGATCTTATAGTCGAGTTGCAGTGCATTAACCCTCGTTACAAAGATGAATGCTCCTTTGAGATTTCAGTGGTGCAAAAACCATTGACACTGGTCTACAGAGATGTGGAAATACGTGATACAGTCAGATGGATCGTCTTTCACTGTATTCTCAACATCTGTGGGGGCCGTTTTGCTGCCATGGTTTGGGTCACTGACCAGTCAACCAACACAAAGTTGTTCTAAGTGATCATCTTTATCCTCTGACTAAACATCTCTGCCCTGATGAAGTGATCCTACGTGCTAGACAGCAGTCTCCATTAACATCAACAAGTCAAGTAGAGTAAAACTTTATTGTCCCAGTGGGGGCAATTTCCTTTACAGACAGTAATCCAACATAAATACATACATCATTCACAAAGACAGTACAAGGTCCGTGTCTCCCACACTGTCACTATGAATCATGGGAAAAGAAGGAAATGTGCGGTGGCATCCAGGGTTATTTTTGTGTAAAAAGCAAGAGAAAAAGCAAACGGGGCAAAGGCCAATCTGTCTCAGTTAGTTCTACCTCCTGTGATACAAGCATGTGGAACTGAGCATGTAAAGGATGATGTAAGTCCAAAGCAATGTTCTGTGCCCTTGACGTGAGCCTCACTTCATACAGGTGCTGAAGGGTAGCGCCGCTAATCTTATCGCACAGCTTTGACAAGTTGTCTCCAGTTTCATCCTGTTTTTAAGACCATCAAACCAGCAGCTCATAGAAAAAGAAAGGACAGACTCACTAAAAGAAGACTGAAATCTTTTCATTGGCTGATTTCTCTTTCTACGTTCTGTGTAGCATTAGTGTTTGCATCAAAACTACACCCTTATCGAAGACAGTGCCAAATATTGCTGCACTGTTGCTGACTGACTCGCCCCCGGGGGGAAGAGGCCTCCTCCGAGAAGCAATAAACACTTTTTATTGGAATTAGCCACATTTATTTTTTAAAGTAAAGCTGGTGTGACAAAGTGGGTGAGAACTCTTTTTTTTCTTCACAACTTGTCCCTCGACATTTCCATTCTACATATTACACAATACTGTTTTCCTTGTGTGTATTTTGCTTTAATTTAATCATGCTAGTGTAACATCGCAGTCCATACTATCACCGGTTTGTTTGTGTTAATATTGTGTTACTGTTTACATCCATTATGTGGGGGGTTTAAAGCAAAACACAGATATTAATTAGTTTCAGTTATCGAGTCACAGGTCACATGTGGTTTAATTGTTTGTTCCTTTGTTCTGACTCTCGGTGCAGGGTGAGTGTTTGGAAGGAGGCCGATCCAGCACTTCCTGGATTTACGGTATTGGTGATGTCAGAGTGACATCACTGAGCCAGACCAAGTGGAGGGTTTTTTCTTTTTTGATCAAATCAAACCAAATCAAGTTCACTGTCATGTTGCTGTACATACACAGTAGTACAGGCAAGACAAGAGAGTGTTTCTTCAGGATCATTTTATTAGTATATTTTGCGTAATGGTCGTCTGGGATAAGACACTAAACGTTCGCTGACGCTGCCTCCTGAAGGGGGCGCTGTGTCCATGCGCGCCACCATTTTGTTGAACATAGCGAACCTCTTCAGACAAAGACACAACGATGGTATGACGATGATGAAGCCACAGAAGCTGCCCAGAGCTGTCTGTCTGTCTGTCTGCATCCCCTCCAGCTGTATGTCCGTCTGGGATGCTGTCATGGAGCCATGTTCCTGTTAAAGCAGACACACAGCAGTCCCTCCACTCTCTGAGGGTTTCTCTCAGCAAACATAGCTCGTCCAGCTTGTTGTGGAGGGAGCAGACATTGGAGAGCATTAGGACGGTCCTGCTGGTCTGGAGGGGTTAGCCTTCAGCCTAGCATGGATCCCGGCTCTCTTCCTCCTCCTTTGTTTACATTCGTACCGCTTCCTTCTCTCTCGGGTAACTGCCGGCGTCGTCTCCGATCGGACTCTGTGTTGGTGTAGCATGTCCACATCACAACTGACCGCCGCAATTCCAGCACCGTTCACTGTCCTGACGCCCAACAAAGTCTCCCGGCCACAAGTTTTGCGGAATGAACATGTGGGATAGACAAGACACTCAAAACGTTCACTTTCGTTGTCTCCTGAAGGGGGCGCTGCGTTTATGCACGCCG